TTCGACCGTCTATTGTTTCTCGCGAAAGGAGGACGTACTGTGTACTTTGGCGACCTTGGCCCGAATATGGAAACATTGATCAAATATTTCGAAGACAAAGGGTCGCTTAAGTGTCCACGAAATGCAAACCCGGCCGAATGGATGCTCGAGGTCATCGGTGCTGCTCCAGGTTCTCATGCGGATAGAGATTGGGCCGAGCAATGGACGAACAGTGCCGAGCGTGCAGAGGTTCACAGAGAGTTGGCTGAAATGAAAAAGGAATTGTCCAAGCAGCCTGTACCCCTTCGCATTGCAGGGTACGGGGAATTTGCCATGCCACTCTGGTATCAGTTCCTCATCTGTACTCAACGCATGTTCCAGCAGTACTGGCGATCTCCGTCGTACCTATACGCCAAAGTTCTCACATGCACTGTCCCGGTAAGTTATACTCCTCCATTTTATTTGATTGGACTAACAGGTATAGCCACTGTTCCTTGGATTCACCTTCTGGCATATGCCTACCAGCCTACAAGGGCTGCAGAATCAGATGTTTGCAATCTTTATGCTTCTCGTCATCTTCCCGGGTCTGGTCCAGCAGATGATGCCGTCCTTTGTCACGCAGCGTTCTTTGTATGAGGTACGCGAGCGACCTTCAAAGGCCTACTCATGGATGGCATTTATGATGGGCAGTATCCTCACGGAGCTGGTATGGAATATCCTAATGTCGGTGCCAATCTTTTTCAGCTGGTACTACCCAATCGGATTTTATCACAATGCAGAGCCCACGAATGCAGTCATCGAACGAGGCGGCATCATGTACCTGCTCATTCTGCAGTTCATGATGTTCACGTCGACATTCAGTTCTATGATGATTGCTGGAATTGAAGAGCCCGATACCGGCAGCAACATTGCTCAGTTCATGTTCTCGCTTTGCTTGATCTTCAACGGGTAGGCTATCTGCGGGTATTTGGTAATTAATTGGTAATAGTGCTGACTGGATTTCTAGGGTACTCGCGAAATCTTCTGATATGCCTCGTTTCTGGATCTTCATGAACCGGGTGTCTCCATTCACGTACTTCGTGTCGTCGGTACTCTCCACAGGCCTGACTGGGACTTCAGTTGAATGTTCTAGTATTGAGTGGCTCACTATCTCGCCTCCAGATGGACAGACTTGCGGCCATTATCTGGACCCTTACATCAAGGCTATGCATGGCACATTACGCAATCCTGGGGCGTCGAAGGATTGCCAGATCTGCCCAATGTCGAGCACAGACCAGTTCCTCGAAAGCCTCAACATGCCGTACTCGGATGTTGGGCGCAACATCGGTTTGCTGTTTGTCTACGTGGGGTTCAATATTGTCGCCGCGCTCTTCCTGTATTGGGTCTTCCGCGTCCCCAAGCATTGGTCGCGCAAGGCCAAGGAGACCTAAGAAGGTCGTCTTCTTTCTTCTTCGGGTTGTGGGGGGTGGTTATGGATTCGGTTCTGTTCCCGAGTTTCTACTCGGCGTTCATATTCTCTTACTCTGTTGCTCCTGTCACAGAGCCTTATCTTGTCGAATGTATCTCATACATGTAGCTTATGTTAATGAATTCTGTATTATTTTGTAACTTTTTGCGCACGAGTATCCATCATTGGGACATTTCTGTGGGCAGAGATGCCATTTGGTACTTGTCAATAGGAAAGCAGGGCAATGGGAGATGGGCGAGAATAGCATTGTCAATCCTTTTACAATTCTCTACATCACAAAGTCTTCGTCGTTTGATGACTTGTTTCTTCAGCGAATAAATCCCCTCTTCCATCTTCTCCTGTCACACGCGTGACTTGTCGAGCTTCTCTGACATGAAAAGGCCTAAGGCATTGCCCTTTCTTGACTTTGATTAATCAGGGGTCAGGTTCGTGTTCTGGGTAATTTGCTCCGACTTCTTTCGCACACTAGCGTCATATTGTCTATGCGCCTAAGTACACATGTCCAAGGTCTCACTCTTCTCTTGTCAGGGATATCTCATGGTTGTCTTGTGAGACAAGCTTCTTCTATGATACTGAGTCAGAATGCAAGCCTCGGTTAATCTGTCCTTGGTGAACTTACCGAGTGCGTCCAAGGTTCTGTCTATCATGTAACATCCATGCGACAACATAGGCAATTTCCTGCCACAGAAACTCGGGACGAGCATCACGATCTCGAATCATCGGTCTGACTTCAGTAACGGCGAACGTTTCTTGGGAGGCGTCGGTCTCAAGAGATCATGGTATTTTGATCTTGGATTTCCTGAAAGTCTGTTTGTTAGCCAGCTTAATCACCATCAGCTAGTCCAGTCTCGCTAGTGTGAAATGACCTCTTACCCATAATGGACTTCTTCTAGTCCATACTTGTGGATTTCTCTCTTGTACACGGCAAAGGGGAGTGATGAGAGGTTGTGAAGTAGAAGAAAGGTCAGGGGTGAGAAAGGTTGAGAAGTGAAAGCAATGAAGAGGAGTGTGGGGATCGAATCAACTCAGTTCAGTACTTCAAGTTCGTATAGCTCTTTTATGAAATGCTGAAACCCCTGGCCGTCCACGCAATATATATCTCCAGCAAAAGTCAAGATACACCCTAATACCAATCAAGCAATGCGACTTGGCCATTCAGTTAATAAAATCCTCTTTCATATGTACTGGAATTGAATAACCAAATATCTCTAAAAGATCTATAAAATAAATCGAAAGCGACGATTGGGTTGGCCGGTCCCCGCTTATCGACGCGGAATCAACAGTCTTCTCCTCCTATCCCCGCGAACTCCATGCCAACACCTACTTTTGGTCCTCTGTACAACCTCAGTCATAGTCATACAGCTCACACAATTCGCCGGAATACCTCGAGAGATACCAATAGCGCCCTCCGCCCCTTGCTTCTCCGGCCGCGCTGTCCGTACCAGCGACTCAACTCACCATGTACGCTCCATCTGCTCAGTGAATCGCTCAGCAACTAACATGCCTTCTAACCCCAGGGGCGTCTTCTCCCTGATCATTATCAACAAAGCCGGGGGCCTCATCTACCAGCGCGAGTTTCAATCTGGTTTGCGCAACCTCTCGACAAATGACTACCTCGTCCTAGCTGGAACCTTTCACGGGTAAGTCAATACCATCTCTCTCCTGGAATACATACCCATTGACTTGGATTCTATAGCGTTCACGCGATCACCCGCTCCATCACACCGAAAATTCCCATCGCCCAACCTGCTCCCTCTACAACCTCAACGGGCACCGCCGCTCCTGCTGCGTCCGGTTACTCCTACCCAAACCCCGGTGTACCAGTCTCCGGCTTGGATTACCTCGAGACCGACAAGTTTCGATTGACATGTTTCCAGACCTTGACGGGGACGAAGTTCTTGTTGTTCACGGATCCGTTGACGGGCGGCGTGGACGCAATCATTCAGAGGATCTATGAGCTCTATGCCGACTATGTGATGAAGAATCCATTCTATCAGATTGAGATGCCGGTGCGATGCGAGGCATTCGATCGGCATCTGGGCGCATGGTTGAGGGGGAGGACATAGCCCCGACGCGCCACGCGGATATCATGACTTTACGAACTAGATACGTTTTGTTCTTGTACTTGTGTCCGGATATCACTCCGTCTCGTATAATACCAAATCACATAATATATTGCCCTTGCACACTGTAGAACGTACCCGCAGAAGGTCGATTCTCGAGAATACAAGACAAAAACAGAAGCAAACGCCGGGTATGCATAACAGTCATATTCAAATCTTCGATCGGACCTTACGCGGTGTCCATCTTGTCCTCGTCCTTCTTATCTTTGTCACCGCTGGATTCGCCATGGCCCTCTTCGGGGATGTTGCCCAGTTGCGTCTTGCCTTCCTGTTCTTCCCGGTCGCGCTTCTCCTTCTCCTGTCGGTTCTTCTCGTCCTCCATCGATAAGCGCAGAGCAAATGCGAGCTCGGGGTCGTTCTCGGCGGCGTCATCAAATCCAAATCCACCCGCCTCACCCTCGCCGCCGCCTCCACCGACGTCGGCATCCTCGCCAGCCAGGATCGGAGTCTGTTGCAGCTGATCGCTGAGAAGATGGGGTCCCGGTGGGATGATAGCAAGGTAGGAACCATCACCACTCTTGACATTGTCAACGAGAGCCTCGAGCTTCTTGGTCTGATCGGATTCCAAATCTCCGAAAGCTATCACGTCGATCGACACGTTGTTCTTCTTCATCTTCTTTGCGAGCTTCACTAGAGTCTTTTCATCTTCTTCGATGGGCGAGCAGGAGAATACGATGATGCGTTGACGCTGGGATTTTTCCATACGGTGCTTGAGTGCCAGCTGGAATGCCATCGAAGTTAGTTATTGAGAGCTGGGGACCTCGGAGATTGGCTGGAAGAACGTACCGCTGCAACCTGGATGGTCGAGCTGAGATGAGCTGTGCCGTGGATTTTTGTTTGGTGCAAACCAGCGAGGATTGCGCCAAACTCAGATGTGAAGGTTGACAACACCTCGGGGCCCTTGCCGCCCATGCTCATAAGACCGACAGCTGACTGGGGGTTTACACGCATCTTTGCATTGTGGATGATGCTAACGGCATCGACTTGAGATTGCCACCGGGTTGATCTGTGACAGTTAGATCTCATCCGCAGATGCAAATATGGTATGATCGGATGTACTCACGTGTAGTCTCCATTGCGACTGCTTTCGCTGTTGTCGACACTGTAGCTTGGAGTTAGCAGAGTAAGCTAATCTGGAGGATGTGCAATGACGGACATGATCATAGTAGCTTCCAGCGTCATGATGGCGGAATTTAAGGAAATTAACGATGTAAAGAAGGGCAGAACAGAGAGTGAATAGGAGATCGGCGTATGAGAGACGAAGACGGATGACGAAGGCGAGGTGGAAGCTCTGCATTCTGCCACTGCTCCCCGCCCGAGGCACCTGTTTGTTGTGGTCTTCCTGGCTCCGCACTTGTACTTCGACACATCCCAAGTCTATATTCCTTGAAATTTACCCAATGTCTGCTATTAAACGAAAGTCTGACGCTATGGACGTCACGCCTACGGGCAGTCCTTCTAAAAAGATGCGCTTAACGCAGCTTCAGAAGCAGGCCCTGATGGACAATCTACAGCTTGAAAGTGGGTTTAATTGTGGGTTTGCGCGGTGAACACAGCACTAATCTTGCTACAGTAACTGAGCGGGCACGTAAGCTTCGTGCCCAATATGCCCTGCAGGCAAATGACCTCCGGGCGCGTATTGAGCGACGCGTCAATCGGATCCCGGTCTCGCTACGCAAGGCAAACATCGGTGAGCTGCTCGAAAAGCACAATGCAGCCTCAAGCAAACAACGGGTTGCGTCGCCTTCTCGGAAACACTCGCCCATGAAGGTGTCGCGTATTATACCAAGTATCTCCGTAGACCAAGAAACTTCTACCACACGCGATGGTAGAGCTCGGAGGGGAAGGTACGATATACCACAAGCCCAATTTGGTTTTCTTACTGACAGAATGAACAGCCACGATGGTCACTTCTCTGACAAAGAGAATGCCCCCGCCGGTTGCGAGTCTGAACTCAAGAATCCTAAGCGTCGCGTGAAGCCAGCCGGACCAGGCGGGGCCTCACGCGTGGCATCCCAGGAACTACGAGGCAACGAGAACCGGATCTTGTCTCCCAAGTCCAATAATTCCCGCACATACCCTCACTCGCCCTTCCGTGCATCTCCCGAGAAGGGTCAACCCTCGTATCTTGCACGCCCTACCTCACCGCTAAAACCGACCAGTCCGTTGCGATCACGCGGCGCCACTGTCTCTGCGGGGAAGGACCAGCGGCCTCCTTCGCAGGCCCAGAAGACTGCCCCCCGTGCCGCTACAGGACCCAAACCTGCTCGGTCACCTTTGTCGCGCCCGGCGACCCGACAGGCCGAGCGCAAGAACAGCACAGGGTCCAATGTGTCTTCGGGTACAACAGTAATCAAGTCCACACGGACTGGTACTGGCCCGAGAAAGGCAACCACAACATCTGCCGCGGCTGCCAAAAAGCCGACTGCCCGTGGGCAGGCGGTATCAATGGCTGTCAAGAATCCCTCTGCGACTGCTTCAATGCGCAAGACTACCGCTCCGGCTGTGGCTGAAACTATGCCCCGAACTCGAGCGCTACGCAAGCGGATTTAGGACGCACAGACATTTGTCTTCTTGTTTTGGAGTTGGTTGGGATTATGTACCTTTGAGCGTGGGTGATTACAGACTGCAATGAACAATATGAGCCTGGATGCTGTCTTTCCTGTTGATTCTTTGGCGCGATATCATAATCGGAGTTTTCCTTTTCGAATCTTCTATATTCATAGCTTTTGTCCGGGTATCTCACCCAGCTTATTTTCGACCCAATACTTTGCCGTCATAGCCATCTATCTGTGTGTATCCGTCTGAAAATTTCAAACAGACCTGGGCAAATACGAGACCCCTGTCGCTTGCCTACCAATCAATGATATTGCTTTTTCCATCACACCGCTCTCCCGGTGAGTTCATTCCAGCTCCTGCCCAGCTACCACAACTCGGGCTTCACATACCGCGAGCACCAATCTCCGTGTTTTCATAATGGAGATCATCCGAGAGTCTACGTCCTTCGAAACCCTTGACGGCAGAGTCATGTATTGCTGCAAGAATTTTGTCGTGCGACAAGATGGTATCCTATACTACGGGTCGTGGAACGATCGATCATCGAAACCTACCGATATCAGTCAGTTCAATGATTTGAGGACGATCACCACCAACGATCGAGGCCCGAAAATGCAGGACACATGGGCTGTGGCATCCGAGGAAGACTGTTACCTGAAAACGCCAGGCGTCGTCGATTTCCTCTATTCAAAGCTGGAGGACGATATTCAATGCGAGCTTAAAGTGTGTGAAGTGCTTCGCAGACATCCACACCCGAATATTGCTACTTATTACGGCTGTCGTGAGGAGAATGGTCGGGCTACTGGTCTTTGCTTCAAACGATACAAGGAATCCTTGACGGAGAAAGTCAATCCTGGATACCTGAACAAGAACATGTTCCGGGCTAGTGGTCGTGAGCAAGTCGATGATTCTCTCAGAGAGAATTTCCATGGGATTTTGGAGGGAATCAAGCACCTTCATTCTCTTGGGCTTGTGCATAATGATATCAATCCGTTCAATATCATGCTTGATGAGCATGGTGTCCCGGTCATCATTGATTTTGGGAGTTGTCGGAAGACAGGGGAATCATTGAATAACAGCAGAGTGGGACAGACAGACGGATGGCATGATTCAAAAAATAAGCTTGTCTTGGAAAAGAATGATTTGGATGCCTTTGAAGAGTTGAAGACCTGGCTGTTTGGTTCTGTGGATGATGAATATCTGTTCCACGAGGAGTATCAATTTGAGGAATGCTAGACGGAGCTTAGAATTGCTTACAGTACCCGCTCTGATTTTACCATGGCTTTACTATCGAAGTAGAAAGCAATAACTATACTGTCCAGTGATCAGAGGTTCAGACTTCAGACTTCAGACGTTATACCCAAGAAGGCATCAGCGAAGTGCGGTATAGGTGTATTCAGATATTTAATCTACCATACAAGATGTACAAGCAACATTTAAAAGATGCACTAGCGAATAGACTTAGGTAGGCTCGGATAGTGGTGGTTTGAATTCAAAGTGATTCAAGGTTGATTTATTAGGACTTCACGAACATGCAAGGTTTTACATAAGTATCTCTCTTAGGCAATTACACAGCACAGTTATCGTAGCAATCATGTTGATTGAACAAATAAGAAAGGAAATAAAAGCTCCCTTGGCTCCGGTTAAGCAAAAGACCCGGGAGAGAAGAATCAGAAAAGAAGAAAGGAAAAACAGGGTCTAGGTATAGCCGTAGCCTGGCCCACGAAAAAAAGGAGCATGCTCAGAAATCAAAGCGAGAGAGAATGGAAAAACTGGACATTGATGCCCAAAGGGACAGGTATGGGTATGGCTGATCCCTCGAATCAGATGCAAATGAACAAAGGTAAAAAAAAAGAGACAAAGTATTCCAGCCACTATAGAAATAGGGGGAAGACAAACAGAAACCAATCAATAGCGACCAAGCAGCTTGTTGATCACTTTTGGGGAATTTTCATGGAAAAAGAAAAGGGAAAACTCCGTCAACCAGTCCTATCACTGGACAAAAAAGAAAAGTAAAAAGAACGCTAAGAAGGTCCCAAGAAACAAGAAGCGAGAAACGAGAAATGAGAAAGATAAAGAAAATCCACTGGATTGAATCAGCTGGATGCAAGTCAGAGTCGGATGATGATGTATCACAGTATTGCAGCTGTGCAGGAAGTGTAAGGAGATCCAGTCTACCCAGTAACACCCATGGCACCCGCATTCGGGCGCGGCCTATAAGCCACATTGGATGGTTGACCATCAGGTGCCCCTGCGATTGGCTGGCTTCCGTTGCTGGTGCTACGGTCACGGCGATACGCTGCTGGGGGAGGAGGACCGAAATCAAGTCCGGCCTGGATGTTAGTGCTGGACGAGTGTGCGTGTCCGCTGGGCCCGACCACATGGCGAACCGAGCTTTGCATCTGCCAAGCTGCATCCTGAGATGGATCAGTCTCAATACGCGCGGAAGCTGGAGTGCTATTGTTTCGGTTGGGGGTGGTGATGGTGAATGTCTCGCCACCGTTCTCCGGTCGCTGTGCAAAGCTGCCTCGACCGATGTCGCCATATCTTTTAAGGATTTCCTTGGTTGTCACTTCGGCATTCTCCCTAAAGAGAGTTGGATCACCCAAGACCGATTGTAGGTCTTCTGGAATCTATGAACAGAGTCAGCACAATCCTAGCAAAAGCTCAACCTGGGCGATTTACTTCGCAGAATGCATCGTTGTACGTGATCAGGGCATTAACAGCCTCGATGGCCAAGAAGCTCTCCTCCACTGTGCTGTTTTTGACATTGGGGTAGAGGATATTGGGCGTGATCACAGTCGCAAGATTATGGACGTCCATCTTGCTTCCAGACTCTTCATCCACATGTGAGAAGGATGAAGTCCAGTTTAAGAAGGCAAACAGGACTTCCATCGTATCACGATGGGCCTTGGGAAGCAGACAGCATGTCAAGTGAAGTAGTCGCCTCTGTTTCTCTGTGTCATCCATTTCTGCGATACAGTTAGCATTGCACTTGTAGACCGATAATCCTAACATCAAAACTTACTTTGTGAGATGACAAACAGTCTATGCAGCTTGAAAGTCAAGAGAGGATCGGGCATTTCACGGAGGAACTTCTTCAAAAGAGCTGCAATCTGCACGGGAGTTTCCTTTGTCAGATCAACTTGCTCGTACTTGGTGTCAATTAGCTCTGCGGTGTCCTTCAATCGGCGGATGTTTCCGTTCTTTCGGAAGACACCCTCCACAGACATGTCCATCTGCCGCATAGCGCAGACAGAATCATCAACTAGCGTCGGGATGCGGAGCGCACCAGGACCAACACCGTGACTTGACTCTGTGCCCTCCTTCTCGACCAGATAGTCTAGACTGACACCAAAGACACCCTTCTTCTTATTACCCTTCTTGTTATCCTTGAAGGCACGGCCAAAGATGTTCCATATGGTAGGCTTGCGCGACTCGATAAGGGAAAGGAGCTCTTCCATGGTGAAATAGCCCTCGACTAACGGTTCCATTTGGAGTACAGCAACGTGGCGAACGATGAAATATTCCAAAGCAGTTAGTTCTGAGAAGTACCGCTTGGTTCGGGTTGGCTCCATCATCGCTTCCATATTTCCACACGATACTCCCCGCTGGTGACCCTGGTTATATCTGGGCATCTCGGTCCCCCCAATGAGTTTTGTACCAGCATGCCTGTAGGCATTAGGTCGCTGCTCCTTGGCTTGCTCGGCCGCAACAATGCGGGGGATGTCATCTAGCGTCAAAGCATCCTGAGCCCCGAAAGTCAGATCAGTAACAGGTTCGCCATTGGCATCCCGTTCTTCGACAATCTGGAAACCGTGGCTCCTCGGGTCACCGCCATCATTGCCAGATGACCCTGGTCGAGCACTTCTGCCTTCTGGTCCATCAATGATTCTGGATGCGCGGGCTCGTTTGTACGTTGTGGATAGGGTTCGCTCATTTCGAATAGAGCGCAGCCGACGCATCTCGCCAACGGTCTGCTCGAGCGATGTTTCTTCGAGGCCATCTCGCGAGGAACCGCCATATGACTGGGAGCGTGTGTTCGCCCGGCGAACCTGGGAAGTGACTCGATAGCCGTCATTGTTGTCGTAATCATTAAGGTTGGGGTCGTCTGGGACGAATCAAGTTAGACAGACTGCCGGCGGCATGGGGGTAATGTAAGAGTATCCTACCTGAGGTATGAGGCAAGGTTCCCCCGGATCGCAGTACGGCGAGAAGCCGTGCGAGTGCCACTTTCAGCAAGAAAACGAATTGCTGCAATTTTGAGACTGGAGTGAAACCACCCTTCACGGTGGGGCCAAGTTTCATCTGGCGGGCGCAAGCGCCGCAGTAGACTTTTTCCTCGCTGCCGCTCCACAATGCGTCTTGGAAATCAGCGGTTAAGTCCTTCTCACATGATTTGCATGAAAGATGAGGCGGCTTGATGTGCCAACGACTCTGTCCCAACTGAACACATTCGTCGTCAATTGGTTCTTTACAGGCAATGCAACAATCTGAAAGTTGATCGGCCAAGCCTTCCACTCCAGCCATCAGGTCGACTGGCGTATCGTCATCCTCGTCTGCTAATGACTCCAGATCACGGAGACGCTCTAGGAAGTTTTGTAAACCATCTGGCGCAGACTTCTCGCGTTCAAGTTTCAGTGCACCTTGTAGACCGATGCGGATAAGGAGTTTGAGGTAATGAGCGAGACCAGTCACCAGAGACAGGAGTTCCTGGGTGACGCCAAGTTTGCGTACCCCAGTTTCCTGGGTTTTCGATAGAAGGGCGAAGAAAGCGACAATCTTTTTGCAAAGAAGTTTGGCTTCGCGGCCATAGGAAAGTTCTGGTTTTGAATGATCAGCGATCGCCCCGGATGATATAAAACCAGCCGCGCGGGACTTACCTTTTAACTCGTGGGATTTGATGTAGTCTGCCAACTGATCGACTGCACCGAAGAGGATTTCCACATGTTCGATGAAGCGCTTTGCTACGAGAACACCATCGATGTAAGCGCCGTTACTCACATGAAGTAGCATGTCTGAGATGCAAGCGGCGGATGATTCTTCAAAGGTAGAAAGGGTGTTCCAAATATTGAAGACCTTTTCTTCCATTAAATCTTCTTCGTCGCGAATATGCTTGCGCTCATCTTCGCTGGCATCCTCATCCACGGGCGGAGGCTCCCATGTTTGACCGGCAGGGGATAACCGGACATTCCAGAACTTGTGAATCATATAACATTCGGGGTGCCAATGTTGATTTTGACCGTTGCGGAAGATTTCGACAAACTGTTTCAGGATTGCTGTGTGACATCCATGGCACCGCTGGGCAAACTGTGTTGAGTAGTGAAAGTGGCAGTAGACCTTGCTCTCGTGTTCATAGTAAGAGTCCTGCGCACCAAAGACGGTCGGGCAAACGGAACAGGTGAAGTGTTCAATATGATACTTCCGGTCCAACGCTGTAATGTATGATCCGCGTAGTGCGCCGCCGCACTCATGGCATAGGAGACCCAGTCGTCTAAAGTAATCGGTTTCACAAAGCGGAAACTGGCAGCTTGAATCTTCTGAATCGACGGGGAAAAACTTCGAAGCAACGATCTCGCCACAGTCCTGAGAGGAGTATGGAAGTTAGAGAAGACCCCAAAAACGCGGGCTAGAAAAAACAACTTACTTCGCACTTGAAACACTCTAGATGAAAAGTTCCCCCTAATGCTCGAACAAACTGGCCAGTGAGAGTTTCGCCGCACTTTTGACACAGTCGCGATGAACCACCTGGAGACTTGTTCTGACGCCCGTTTACTCGCGAGCGATCTCGGGGCGCGGAGCGGTCGCGGAAGCCGGCCTGGTCAGGACCCAGACCACGACCCGAGCGGCCACCATCCTCCTGGTTCGCCGGACTGATGGGGCTTGGGCCTGCCGTTCGTGTTGACGGTGACTCGAATGGAATCAAACTATCTTCGGGAGATGTGGGTGTGTTTTTCGTATAGCTAGCCCCGTAGCCAGAGGTGTCGACGGTGGGACGGCCGCTGGGATTACCTGCGACCAGGCTGGCTGGGAGTCCACCGGGGGGCATCTTGGTCCCCCGTCAGGAGAAATACGGTGGGGTTTGTTGGGTTGAATCACGCCGAACGCTGCATGCAAATATTGGAGAGTAAGGAACGGGCGAGGTGACGTGGTAAACGGGAGTTACGGTAGGTTTGTATCGAAGATGCAACGCGGTTACAGATTGGCGGCAAATTGAAGGTCAGCTGGGCGCGTACGGTCGAGAGTCTGATTCTTAAATTAGAATCTCATGCCTTGGGGTCACTGTTGTTCCCCAGAGTGTACTCACCCTCATGCCATGTAAAGACACGCGGGGGTGGCTGATGGAGGAGGGACGGAAATAACGCGCGCGCAAAGCCAGAGGAATCGAATTGAGGAGGTGGTATAGAGGAATGTTGTCGTGAACGAAGGGACTGAAAGCGCGCGGGCTAGAGGACGCGGGGACCGGTCTTCGAGGGGGATTGGGAGCTTTCAAGGTGAGACCAACAGAGGGTGCTGATTATCGGGCCACAGTCATCCCAAACTGAACCGACAGCAGATTCCAGGACTCCAAGAACAAGATAGAAAAAATTAAGGTGCAAGGGCGAGGGGAAAAGAAGTGGGCTGGGGAGGAATGGAGATGGAGATGCCCCCCCCCTCCCCTAATTAGTTAGGGACCCTGGGTCACGTGGTCTATACAATTCCCATGTGGACGGTCAACTTGGGGGAGTGGGTGACATATTCTAGGGTCTTTTAGACATGATTGCAGGATATCCAAGGTCAAATCTGATTGAATTGATCTGAGCACATGGCAAATATCAACATTGCACTGTGTACTATGTGCATGTAGACACAGCTTCTTGTGTACTCCATACCGCCCCCTATGCCATCACTGTGCTTTTTATAGAACACTCTGCAGATTAGTGTTTGGTTTTTGTATTTTAATTTCAGAAGTGACATGGTAGTTTGTATGGATATGTATGTCTTTTCCCCTAACATAGCATCAAAGGTGGAATATAGGGGTATTTTGGATTGACCCTTGACTATGTCAGATAGTCTCCAGGTTGGATATCTCCTAAGGATGAAGGATACACGAATACTTAGGTATCTCCATACATAGTACTCCGTATTACATGTTAGTTTCTTACATTTCAAAGTTTCCAGGGAGATCCATGGAAAAGTAATCTCATCAGACTGATCAGTACATTTGGATTGGTCGAAGTATGTTGATGTTGATGGGATTACCCGTACAGTGGAGAGTAGGAGGCTGGTAGACAAAAAAACAGACAGAAATAGAAAAGGACAGAAAATAGAAGATCGTGAAGATCAGGAAAAGTAAAACACGAAAGAAAGAGAAACGTAGAAAAGACCAGAATACAAACAAACCAAAAACACGTTAAGGGACAAACTGTCTAGTCGCCTTGATTCCACCTGACTTTACCTTCTCTATCTCCTCTTCATCCTCCTCTAGACCATCCACACCATTCGTGCTTTTAATACATCTAGGTTTCTATTTTCTAAGTTGCTGATCATAACTCTGCGACCTTCACGATACACCCGTGAACACCTGACCAACTCACCTCAGACGTTGCAAGATGGGTGACCAGTGCACTCTGCGCCTCGTCCGAGTACGTGCCTTTCCAACTATGATTCATTTGGGCAAATTAACCCGATAAAAACACTAATCTCTCATTGTCGCCTTAGGAGTTGAGACAGGTCGAGCAAAGTGAACAACTGGGTATGAGATCTCTTAGCACTTCAAGCCATTCCGTATGGAGACCCACAGACTGACCTCGATACAGCCTTCACTATCTACTACGAAGAAAGCAACATTCGGGATATCCAGGCCCTCATCATCGGACCCCCGGGCACCCCATACGAACTGGGCTTTTACGAGGTGAGATCCACCCAGCTATTCAAGGCGGGCCCGGGCACGCTTGTTGAACTATGACTAACCAATTGTAATCGTCTGCCAGTTCTCGATCAGGATCCCATCAGGTAAGATGATCTTGTCTTTCATGGCAGGTCCTTGCTAAATCATATGGTGATAGATTACCCAGCAAATCCCCCGGTGGTGAAAATCCGGACGACCAACAGGGGCCGAACTCGCTTTGGACCTAATCTGTATGCTAATGGGAAGGTCTGCTTGTAAGTGTACCCGGATACTTCTTTTATACAACGCCTGATACTAACATTTTCTAGGTCGATCTTGGGGTAAGCTTGTCTAACAATAGAGGGTTTTTATGGAGCATCGCTAAACATCGCAACAGAACTTGGCATGGTTCCCGAGGTGAGCAATGGTCGCCTGCACAGGGACTCGAGTCCGTTCTGCTGTCAATCCAGAGCCTGTTATCATCAAACCCGTATACGCTGGAACCGGGATTTGACGACAACGAACGGGCGAACGACACGGAAAATATGGAGATCTACAAGTCCAAGGTAAAGATCGCTATCTTGTCAGAATAAACTGGACAATGCTCACATTTATATCAGATTCGTCATGAGAATCTACGACTAGCAGTCATTACACCGGTTGAACAAGCCTTCCAAACTGCGACGCCTCCCCGCCGAACGGCGCCAAGGGTTGGTTGGGAGTCTAGCACGGAAGAAGATAGTGATCACGAACTCCAACTCGATCTAGACGGATTCCCCATTCAAAGCAAGTTTGGCGACTTTTGCAAGCGACGGTTCCTATGGTACTTCGAGTTCTACCAGAACGCTATTGAGAAAGGTATCGCGGACGAGGCACGCAGACAAGGAACGCCCTTCATCCAAATGCCGTTTGAAGGCTATGGCAATTCCATGGGCGGAGAATGGAACTACATCGCCCTACAAGCCCGTTTGTTGGCTGTCCGAGACCAGGTAATGGAAGAGACAAACCGCTGGGCCATCGAGGGTCTTACTCTGGTCAAGGAGGATGCTGGGATTGCCGTTAAACTTCGGGGTCGGCATGAACAGATTGCTGCAGAAATGAACAGTTCTCCTCAAGTTATCGATCTGTCACTGGTTGATGATAACCCGTTCGTCTGGAGACTCACCTATGTTGGTCGCAACGAGTCCAAGTTGGAAGGTGGCATCATCAAGATCAAGATTCACATCTCTCCCCGACACCCAGAAGAACAGCCTCGGGTCTTTATCGAGCCGCCCCTGTACCACATTTGTGTCTCCAAAATGGGTGTGTTGATGTATCTTCCTTCGCATGCTGAAGAGATCGGCCAACATATCGACGGCATCATCAATACACTGGAAGAAGACAACCCCCCGTACAATCCCCTCATGACAGTGAACCCAGAGGCAACCGCTCTGTGCTGGGGTTCGGAACTAGAGCGCAGGCTTTACAGACGCAAGCTTCGAGCATCACTAGAGGATTCCTGAGCTGAGCTAGCTCACTGCTGGTGCATGTTTGCTAAGCAATGTGTCATGCAACATGACAGTATTCGGTTATCGTTACCAACTCTCCCTCGCTTGAACTGTATCATTTTCCTGCCATCACTATTTCTTGCCACTGTGCCTTATCTTACTTGAGATATTCTTTATGATGGCGGAGAGACTAGGAATTGGCGCGTGGCGTACCATTTAACACAGAAAAATCGATATCAAATAGTATTCATAGGTACACAAAAAGGACCTTGATGATGTCTTGTGATCAAGTGTAATTACCGTCTACTAAGTAGATATAGTAGACGGATGAGACAACAAGAAAGGCTCTGTGGCTAGTAGAGATGGACGGACCACCATCTTTTGACTGTAATCATATAGTTTGTGTAAAGCTCGGGGCAGTTGGAAAAGTATGGGTACTCCAAGAATATCCCAAGAAGAGACTCAACTTTCCAAGGTCAGCTAAAGTGGGATAGTTATACCAGGAACCTTGTTCACGGCACGATAGTAATCACGAATCATACAATGCCCATAGACGACACAAGACCTCGGGAGGAACAGATACCAAGGAATTACGATGCCACAGGTCAATCCAATGATCACAAATCCTTTGAATGTGTCGGCGTTGCGGGCGATGTTTCAGTCTCCGCCACTTGGAAAGTGTGCGCACATTTGCCCGAATGTTGAACATATCAATCATGTCAGTCGAAAGCATTGCTAATCCCTTCCGTACTTGGCATTCATCCCAGGACACACAGCATAAAGGTCTCTGAAGACCCTTTTCCAACGCCGAAATTTCTTGCGGTCATCCCAAATCTCGGCGATGGCCCTGATATCAGCCATGATGTTCGCCCCTTGAGGCATATAAGTTTGTGACGAGAAGGTCGGCGTGGTCTGAGCTTTTGTTTGAGGCTTTGGGGGTTATAGTGAAGGAATCATTTCTCGAGGACTGGCATTTTGCTGTCAGGCCATCAAGCCTGAGGGTTTCAAGCTGTGCTGCCAAAGCATCAAGCCGTTTATTGGCGGTCGACACCAGAATATCCCTAGTAGGAACCGTTTCGGCCACCCTGTAGACCTTTGGCGAGGTGAGAGCGCCGATGTTGTCTGGAGTGCCATCCCTTGTAGATTTTTGATGTCATAAGTTCTCCATGATGAAGGCGTCGCGATGCAACATTGAAGTCATCTGAATATGAGTAGAAAACATTGAAGTCAAAGCAGGGGCAAAGGAAAAGTCAAAAGGGAAGGTCCGTTCCTTCTTTGTATATATTTGAAGTCAACCAGCGGTGCATTCATGGATAGGGTCCATGACACATCCAGAGACGGCGAATTCCATTCACTTAAAGTAGTTCTCGGCATGATATATTATCAACGAAGCAATGTTCAATACTACTTCCATTGAATATAAAGTAGAAAAGGTGGAAGAAGTAGAAGAGTGCCAAGTTTAAGGCATAGCCCGCACGGATCACCTGATTATCTCCGCCAACTTCCCCGGCCCCTTTTCAGTCAACTCCCATCCCCCATCTCCCTACAGAAAAATCATATCATGTCGGCAAAAAGGCGCACGTTAGAGCTAGGCAATGTCCTCGTGGTCGGAGGCTGTGGCTTTCTGGGGTGGCATATTGTCGATCACCTGCTGAATTTCCCCTCCGAGACCGACCCCAGTTACGCTCTGCCGAAGCCCGTTGGCGATGCGCGCTTCGAGTACCCGACTCTGAAATCGCGCTACCCGGATTACAACTCCACGGTCTCTGTCGTTGATTTGCGCACCACCAACAACCGTCTTCCCGGCGCTCAGTACTATGACGGCGATATCACTTCCGTCGAGTCCATGTTGGAGGTTTTCCGCGCTGTCAAGCCCGATCTTGTCATTCACACTGCCTCGCCATCTATGATTGAGGGCAACAAGCCCCTGCTGCACAAGGTCAATGTGGACGGAACACGGACGCTACTTGAGGTCGCCGGTGGCGAACATGGTGATTGGGGTGGTAAATGCAAGGCGTTCGTCTACACCAGCTCCAGCTCCGTGGTCCACGACACACAGAGTGATCTGAAGAATGTGAATGAGGAATGGCCCTACATCCGGGGTCCTGCGCAGAAGGAGTACTACTCCGAGACTAAGGTGAGTTTTTATCATTTTTAAACAGATCTTAATCGGGATCAATCACTAATCAGACCCCTTGTCTTTCAAGGCCGATGCCGAGGAAATCGTCCTGAAGTACAACAAGAAGTCCCCGAATGAGATGCTGACAGCGGCTATCCGTCCGGCCGGAATCCACGGAGAGAAGGATACAACAGTCACACACAAGATCCTGGAGCACGGATCCCAAGCATCGGATAGAGTGTTACGGCTGCAGCTCGGTGATAACAACAACCTGTTTGATTTCACCTACGTCGGCAACGTGGCTTATGGTCACCTGCTTGCTGCGCACCGCCTTCTCGCGAGCTATGACCTTCTCGCAGCTGGCAAGGGCGGGCCCCTTGACTACGAGCGCGTAGACGGCGAGGCTTTCAACATCACCAACGATTCCCCTGTATATTTCTGGGATGTCACTCGTGCCATGTGGGCTCTGATCAACCGTGTCGTTGAGCCGGACCAGGTCTGGGCTCTGCCCGAAGGCCTCCTTGAGATTGTTGGTGGCGTCGCCGAGACTGTCATGGGATTGTTTGGCAAGACCCCGCGTCTCACTGCCCGGACAGTGCGATACTCATGCATGACTCGCTACTACTCGACTGAGAAGGCCAAGCACCGCCTGGCTTACTTGCCTGTTGTGCCCTTGGATGAGGGAATTGCCCGTGCTGTTGGATACATTGTTGCCCAGAAACAAGCGGACGCAGGAAAGAAGGCATTGTAATTGACATTAGATCATGAGATTGAAAAAGGCATCTTATGCTGTATTAATATGATTAATTACATTTACGCGGTTCATGTGACCATATTACCTTAATAGGAAAGTGGGCCACCCATGGTTTGTTATATCAGAGTTGTGGATGTGTTGGTCACGTGGAAGTGATACAACCTCGACGAGACACTTCTCAACAAGCAGCCTATCTCCTGCAACTCATTAGGCCTCAAGCCTAATTTGCCATCACAATGTCCCATTTTGAGAAGCAGTGTTCTAGTATTGATTACGTCAATGAAACTGGGACATTGCAATGCCCGGCATGCCTGAAGCTGGGTATCATGCTTCATTAGACTCGCCATCAGAGTCCATGTCGCTTTTGCTCACAATATTCTACGTTGTAGCCGACTGGACAACCACATGTAGAGCGGGATCGATATTCTCAGGCCTCTAGGCAAACAAACGTTCGTCATTGTACAAACAACCGAAGAAGATGTTGAGGGCCAGGTGCAAGTCCTTGGTCCAGCATTGGAGCCTAGAGGCATTCAAATGTAATTACCACACAATATCATCGCTGGAACGACATAGTATGGTTGCAGGTATCCCGGGTCATTCTCTCGGATCCAGTATAAGAACCAGACTTGACAATCTCACCAACGCGGCATCCGGGGTACTCCATACATACGGAGTACGTATCTGACTATATATTAGAATAAACGTGGCAATTCTTATTTGTGTGGCGTCCTCTTGGCCTGTTCGCACTTGGCACTTGGCTCTTGGACCTTTGGACTCTCTATCCTGTGATAGGCGTGCTATGGCGTATCCGACACTACAGGTTGCGTGCTGCATGTGAGCTGGAATATGAATCTGATAATCAACCCTTGCATAGCTTCAATCCAAAAGCCTCGAGACACGCCTCAACTTATTTTTCTTCGAGGTTTCTCTTGTCGCCTTCCTCAGGGTCTTTGTGGTCTGTGTGTACTACGTCGTACATCATGGGGTTAACAGGAACCAGGCTCGGAGCCTTCCGAGCGTATTTCTTTGGATACTTCATCTGTACCGCAGGTTTCTTGTTTGGCTATGACACTGGAATCGTTGGCAAGTAAAGCAGAAAGCACATGTGGTTGATTCATCGCTAACAGTTTTGATGGATAGGTGGTATCCTCGAATTCAAGTCCTACATCAGTGATTTCGGCTATACGGACCAAACCACCGTCAGCGCTGTGATGGTAAGCTTGCAAAATGTAGGCGCATTCCTGTCGGCCCTGGGTATATTCTGGGTGTCCGAACGGTACGGGCGAAAGAAAACAGTCCAGGCAGCCATGGCCGTGTTCTGTATCGGTGTGGTTTTGCAAGTGGTACCTTCACACTCACTCGTTTGTTTCTATATCGGCCGATTTGTCGCTGGTCTCGGTCTCGGTGCAGGCACTGCGGTCGTCCCAGCATACAACGCCGAAATGGCACCCAAGGAAATTCGAGGCAAGCTCGGCTCGGGAATGCAATGGTTCTTCGCACTCGGTGTGATGCTGAGCTACTGGATTGATTACGCTGTGAAGCTCACACTGCCCGTCTCTTCGAAGCAGTGGCAGATTCCCGTTGGTCTCCAGATGGTGCCAGCTGGAGTTCTTGCACTGGGTCTGTGTGGTATGCCCGAAAGTGTGCGTTGGCTGGTCAAAAAGGGCCGTTATGATCAAGCATGGGAAAGTCTGAAATGGATGCGAGCTAGTGAAGGTGGTGACATGCCCTGCAGAGCGATCACGGGACATAGGACTAATCAGCTCTCAATAGGCTCTGAAGTGAAGGCAGAGTTCAACGAAATCCGAGTCGGTCTTGAGGAAGAGTTGCGAGCAACCGAGGGCTTCGATAAGCGCGAACTTCTCGAGCCCGCAAACCGCTACAGACTGCTCCTCGCCGTTTTCATGTTTTGTGGTCAGCAATGCACTGGTATGACCGCGCTGGCTTACTTCGGCCCGCAGTTCTTCAAACTGATAGTCGGTAACAACACCAACCAGTCCCTTCTCATCACTGGTCTTTTCGGTGCCGAGAAGTTCATTACTGTTGGCATCTATATCTTATTCTTCTCCGAGATGTGGGGACGCAAGCCGACCCTTTGGATTTCAGCTCTATTGATGGCCATTTGCTTTATTATTGTTACAGTCGTCAAGGAAACAACGCCAGAGCCCGATGCAAAAGCTACCCCGGCTGGTATTGGGATGGTGGCTATGATCTTCCTGACCAACTCGATCTACCAATTCAGTTGGGGGCCATTACCATGGCCATACACCGCCGAGGTAAGTAATACTATGCTCGTCTATGACCAGCTCAGCCACTAATAAGCATGTAGATCTTCCCAACACGAATTCGGGGGATTGGAACCTCGGTCGCTGTATCAACACAGTGGCTTTTCAACTTTCTTTTCTCGCTCGTGACGCGCTACATGATGAATTCGTGGGGCAGTTATGTGTTCCTTTTCTATGCGATCCTGGATATCATCATGGCAATCATTGTCTTCTTCTTTGTCAAAGAGACGAAAGGGAAAAGCCTTGAAGAGATGGAAACAATCTTCCACAGCAAGGCTGCATTTGACGTTGATGCCATCCGACGCGAAACGCTTGATGCGGAGGAAGTTAATGTTAATGTACAGAACAAATCCGTAGGCCTCCCTTTAGGGCAACGAAAATAGCTAGAAGATGCGAAAAGTCTAAACATGACATTTAGGCAGATACCCTTGGATTGACCAATCAGAGACCTTGGAATCGCTGTAGGAAAAAGGGGCGGATTCGAGAAAAACTTGCCACTTGCACTTTTCCTTCTCTTTTATCTCTTCTTAAATTGTGAACAGGCAAAGCGTGGATAGTTCTGAACTTTTAAATTGCTGATCGATTGGAAAAGGATGGGTGAGTGGACAGCTATGTTACCCGGCAAAGCAGGCGAATCTATGACTGACAGTGGTGTGTAGGTTATTATGAGGTACAGTCTTTTGCCTTGCTCAATAGACAGCATATCTGACCGTTTACAAGTTTCGCTGCCATTTATGTGGCGTGAGCTTCAATGTCTTCTTTCGCCTAAGGTCCGGGGAGCTAGACTTGTCTGATCCTCAAGACGGCCGATTCTTTGAGCCAGACCCGCTTGATTCAAAGGTTTATGATGACATGGTTGAAGACCTTGACTATCAACCCCCAAAAGATATTGGTGACAATGATCCATATGAATATGATTCCGATTACGAATCGACCGATAGCATGAGCCTTGACGGAGAAGATGCGCGTGACAATGGAGATAGCGAAGACAGCAGTACTGATACAAATCAAGACCCCGAAAGGAAAATGTATGACCACTGGGTATGGCAAACTTTCAAGCGGCCTGGCCTTACAGATGATTTGCTTCGCGTTGGATTCCTTGATAACCCAACGGGCGGCTATTCGGTGGATGCTATCTCACCTGAACAGGCGAGCGGCTGTCGCACCGCCCAGTTCCTGGTGCATAACTCACTCCAGAGGGATACATGGAAGTCTGATGAACTACATGAGCCATGGGAGATCGATGGGGATTGGTCTTTATCCGGGATTTGTGATGGAGCGCCGATGGACCCAATAGTGTTTCCCAAGCGAAATGGGTTGGAATATTTCGAGGCAGATGATACGTTCATTTCTGTAGGTACCTATCAAGCGCTTGTTGCACTGAACCGTCTCAGGGGCCCAACCCAAAGCTGACACTGGTGGAAAGCAGAACATACCACCGAATGAAATAGCCATGCCATTCCATCCGTGGTGCTTTGATATCTTCTGCCGACAATCCAAAGTCCAGTTTCAATGCATCAATGCGTCAGGGCTGATGACCTGGCGTAATTCTGAGTTTGACTATGATTCACGTGACTCATTTCCTCGATGCAAAGAGGTTAAAAGTTCACAGAAGCAGTGGTGGTTTCATCAGCCTGGTACCGAGTATCTGATTGCAAACCCCCTTGACGTGCCTGGACTACCAGAAATACTTCTGGCTGCGGTCGAGAACCAAGAATCCGATGCCTCTTATGACCCATCGTATGAGATTGAATCGTCTCAATCCCCGACGAAACGCCCTGTACCATCTCACAATAGTCAAGCCGACTTCCTCTCTGTCCTTCCGGCCGAAATCCGGCTCATGATTATCGACTATTTAGACTCTAGTGACATTGCTAGTCTAACCGTTGCTTCCAAGGCATTCACTGAACTCCCAAATACTGTGTGGTATAGACTAGTACGCCGAGAAATGCCCTGGTTATGGGAAGCCTGGGATGAATCCGAATGCATACACAGCCCTTCGATGTGGACAAATATGCAAACAGCCGAGCTCAAGTCTATGATCAGATTACGAAAATTTTATGTTGAGGGCTTGCTGGTGGATTGGTACACAGAGCGTGACGCCGAGAAAGCTGCTGAACACCGATATCCTATGACAGTGACCATGCCGGACCAGGTGAAATTACCTATAAGGAACACCGACTGGCGTCGTGTTCTGATGCAAATTCAACGCAATTGGGACATGCTTAAGGGGTTGCAGAATCGACAGCGGATCTGGACCGATGTGGAGGAGATTATAAGGCGGATTCGCAAGTTGGACGCATAGTACACCGGTGATTTTGTTCAGTTAGCCTGCAATGTAGTGAACTTGGGTTTTGCAACAGTACAATATACGCACTTTCGACGCTTATGCTTGTAAATCTGGCGAAATAGATTGGCAGTCATACCCAAATAGGAAGGCCAGCCAGCTCTTGGCGTCCCCCGCAGCGGCGAATTGTCGGCTAATCACCCCGCGACGGAGGTGACGGTGACCGCATATATCTCATCTCGTGTTACTCCTGCACGATTAGTATCAAAATCCAATATTTTATAAATGGCTGCCTCTGAGAAACGCCCTGAGATCATCGAGCTTGCTCGGGGACTGGCAAGAGTGCCCTTGTGCGAGGACTATGAGTGTATGATATCTGGGATGATGTGTGTATCATTTAAATCCTTACACTTTGACGGGACAGACTGTTGACCTGTCTAGGTACAACCCCAACATCCCGAAATTGCTAGAGGCGCGGCATTTATGTCGGGGACTTGCTGCAGACTTCAACAATCTGGACACAAAGACCGTGACGTATGACAAGATCGGCGACAAGCGTCTTGAGTTATTGCGGAAACTTGTCGGCAAAATTGGAGATGGAACATTCATTGAACCACCATTTTTGCCAGACTACGGATGCAATACTTCGATCGGAAAGGATTGCTTCTTCAACTGGAAGTGAGTCTTCATTTCCAACCTATGTCTTGTTGAAACTTGCTAACAATTCCTAGCCTTACGATACTGGACACCAGTCTAGTTGTCATCGGTGACCGTGTACAGATTGGCACTGGAGTTAGTCTCATCACCGCTGGCCATGATACTAGCGTTCTTTCTCGCCGTAAATTCGTCGAGTTTGGCCATCCGATCTTTATCGAAGACGACTGCTGGATTGGAAGTAATGTGATTGTTCTGCCCGGTGTGCGAATCGGCCAGGGCTCAACAATTGGAGCCGGATCTGTTGTCACCAAGGATATCCCGCCGTTCTCTGTCGCCGTTGGCACTCCTTGCCGCGTGAAGAAGACAATTCAATCGGCGGAAGAAGAGGAGCAGGATCCTAATAATCCGTACCGCAGTTTGGTTCGTGAGGATCAATAGAATTTGATATAGAATCAAATAGAATTACCGGTAGACGAGGATCACCACCCCCGTCTCTGAACAGCCCACGTACAAATCCCGTATTACTTTTCTCAATGCGTATCCCTCATGTCCTGAATAGCGCTGGCGTGCAACCCTGGTATTGTTTCTAGCTCCAATGCACACTGCTACAATGGCTGCATCACCTGCTTTTTTAATCTTCGACGAGTAACGATCCTTGAAGCGTCGTAACTCCACATAAGGTTGGGTGCATGCAACATGGAGCTACCCAACTTGCGGTCCATAAAGTGGACGCTGTGGTAGCTTACTCGAGATCTACCACCATTGCTATAATATGAAGCCCCCCGTCAAGAGATTGGCTTATGTAAATGTCTACAAGGTTCAGACTAGTTATAACTTTTTTTATATCAGATTAATAAAGAAAAATGAACGTTATACATCTTATCCCTCTTGTACCTTTTGTATCGGCGTGGCATACAAAGTATACATGATGTGAAGAAGTATCATCCGGTGAAAAATCAGGAGCGCGCCAACACCTGGAAGTATTGTTGTGCGCCCGGCACTATGAACCTTGTACTAACGGTCTACAAAGAGTAAGACGTCTAATTCAGTTGTGTAGAGAGCAATTGAATTGTTGAGGTGTTTCCTCATGCTGACTATGGAATTCTAACAAAGTTGAGAACCTGTCCATACCTAAACGAGATACCTGAAGCCCTTGCGCATACGTAGCGACTCGTCTGGGTGATCGATGATGTCATTCTCAGTCGAATCCCCTCTAGCACCATCGGCAAGCTCGCCCTCCTCGAGCTGGTGGTTCAAGCTGACCAACATCGAGCGGAAATACCAGCATCCGCCGACTGTGACACCGAACATGGCCAGCACAATTCCATAGCTGGAGCGATATCCATTATCTTCCAAGTCCCAGACATATGAACCAGCAACGTTGCCCAATTGACTGAAGGCATTGATCATAGCAATGGCGACGGCTCGCTTGGCTGGAGGACGGGGGAATGAAGAACTGATCCATGAGTAGAATACGATGAATCCTGCGTAGGAACCAGCCTGCAGGAAAAGCGCGACGTAGCGAGCTGCGGTGTTGCTGGTGGCCATGCAGATGATGAAGCCGACGGCTCCCATACCAATCGGGCCGATGATATGCCAGACCTTTTCTTGTGTTTTGTCCGCGTGCCATGCATTAATGACAGAGAAGATACAGGAGAAGACCCAGGGAGGCGCGCTCATCAAAAGAGTCGGGACATATCCGAATCCGAGCGTACCAGTGAGGGTAGGCTATGCAGCAAGTCAGTAAAATATCCCAACTGGTTTTTTGATATGACAAGACTTACGAAGAAAGCATTGAAAGAAAGTCCCACCACATAAGCCACAAAGGTGAACATCATTACATAGATTTTGGGGTCCACAAGCGCCATTTTCAGGCCTCCAAGAGCCCCAAGCTCTTCACCATCGGTGTCAGCCTCGCCGACATCCTCGAGCATGCGAAGTTGTGCAACCTGGCGCTCTTCCTCGGTGAAGCCACGCGCATTATGTGGCAGGTCAGGCAAAATGAAGGCGGCAAGGATGGCGAGGAACATGGTCACTGAGCCTTCAATCCAGAAGAGCCAGCGCCACGCGGCATGGCCCATGACACCTTGCATGTTGGATAGGACACCAGCACCAACCAGTGCAGAGAATGCATTGGAGATGAGGTTACCACAGAACAGGATGGCGTTCCGGGTTGTGAGTTCCCGACGGGTGTACCACTTGGAGAGGATAAGCAAGGCACCGGGCAGGAACGCTGCCTCAACGAACCCCAGCAGGAAACGGACAGCCACCATGTCCCCAAAGGTCTTAGTGCTTCCAGACAAGGTGGAGATAACGCCCCACAATATCATGGCGACGGAAATGTAAAGCGAGGGCCGGCTGATACGGTTGATGAACATGTTGGAAGGCACTTGCATGATGATGTAGCCGACATAAAGGATACTCAGACATGTAGAGTAGTCAGTATTGCTCAGTTTGAGATCTTCCTGCAGACCCTTGAGACGAGCAGCTCCTAGATTGTTCCTGTCGAGGTAGTTCATGACTATTGAGCGGCGTCAGCGATGTTGATTTGATGTATATGCCGCACGGCGGCGGGTTCAAACACTACACAAGGTGGTACGCACTGTAGATGGCGACAAAAAGACTGCACCTAGCATCAAGCTTCCGCTTGAGCTTCTTCTCGACGACTATCCGGCGAGCTGGATCCATCTGAGCCACGCCATCTTGCTGTGGTGAGGCAATGTGTTCGAGATTTTCAACCCGTTCCTTCTCGGCCTCAATCTCCATCCGGTCACGGTTTTCCCGTGAGATATCGTCCGCCATTGTGTGTGTGATTGTGAGCAAGGCCAGAGAATCCGGGGAACAGAAAGAGCAGATTCTTGCATTTAAGCGGAAAGACTCTTCTCATGGTTCATCCCGCGCTAGTATTTTTCCCCGGTACCCCCACGCCTAGATCGTATGTAAATCGTACGCGGGGGGGATACTACAGTGGAGTTGCGGTTGACCGACTCGGCATCCGAGAGCAGGAGACGTCCCGAGGAGGCATCTGATTGGATCTGACTGAAGGGGAATATGAGGGGGGGAAGTTTCACCCCGTGTTCTGGTATCGGCACGGGAACTTTTTAGGGTCACAAGGTCACGGGATCACGGCTCTCGGACTTCACTGTCTCTCACGGGACGCGAGGAAAACACCGAAAACCCCACAAAAGCCAGAAGAAACCGGGCAAACCCGGGAGAGACCGGCCAAAACAAAGGAGCCAAAACAAATCTTGGAAGTCAGAAAAGCCGATATCCACACGGAATCCGAGTTCGGCATACGGCGCCAATCCCTTACACCTTCCCCGCCTCTCCGCAGTTTGTTCCCTCTCTTTTCTCTCACCGGGATCATGAATGAGATCATATCCCCGCAAAGCCATTTAATTCGAGTTCAATGGAATGTGGGGAAAGATATACACAACGTACGATGTTGTATGTTGAAACGGGCCATACGGTCTGAAGTACAGTATCGTGGATGTGACCCGGGAAAAACTTGACAAATAGATTCTCGACCTTCTCTCCACTTGGTGAGAGTTTCCGCTCAAGCCCATACGGCATTTGTCCGGTACCCCACGCTCGGTCTGCCGATATTTTGCCGCTTCCTCAGTTAAGTGTCTAGTCTAGTTGTTTACATTGGGTAGATGGACACCGGTGGCTTCGGCCTGCTCCGTCAGCTCAATTTCCTCCACGCGGTCATCCTCATGCCACCCCTCTCGGTCGTCTTTCACTAGTCGGACAAAGCACACGTCAAGTATAAGTGCTACGGCACTGATGGCAACACCGAAGAAAAGTGCCGCTCGATATCCCGTGATTTGGCTACCCGAGCGGCGGGCAATTTGAACCTCAATGGTAGATGCAAAGCCTAGTCCGAGACTGTTTCCGTATAGATTCAATGTGCCAATCACCGACCCGGCAATTCCCTGCTGATTTCGACGCACGGAGTTGCTGGCAATGATCTGACCAGCCGTGTACACAAAGTCCGGGCAGAATGAGAAGAGGACCACGGAAGGAAAAATCTGCGGCCAGTAAGATTGATGGATTGGTACGGTCGCCATGAGCACATTGGAAATTAAGATCGTGACGGTTCCAATGGCCAGGATCCATTGTGCTGCCATTCGCGGGATCATCCATGCTGCGAGACAGGCAGCGCCCGTGGCGCAGATCACGAAGGGGGTCCAGCCTACGGCAAATTGTAGGGGAGACCAGTGCCAGACTTTTTGAAGCCACAACACTTGGTACCAGATCAAGGTTCCTACGGCCATATAATTGAGAAGCACGACCAATAGCAGCATGAGGAAGGATGGAGCTTTGAAGATGTCGAGTGGCATGATCGGCTCCGCGGCATAGTTCCTTTCCCAAAGCAAGAAGCCCCCGAATAGGATGATTGAGCTGATCAGGAGAACGATCTCATAGGGGGTTGACCAACCGACACTCGGTGCTTGACTGTGGAATGTTAACATGCAATCCTTCGGGTTAATCTCAACAACTTACTTCCAAACAAAGTTGAACAAGATCAACGAGCTTGTTCCAAGAGCCGATCCAATGCAATCGATCTTTCCATGCCGATCGGCTGGTGGTTCTCGCGGACTCAAAGCCCAGAGAGGAGTGAATGTGGTAACACCGAGGCAGGCACTGTGTTACCAACGCATCAGTACCTACTTATGATCCGGGTTCACGGGGTCTATCACCTACATGAAGATGAAAAACCACTTCCATTCTGTCCGCTGTAGAAAGGCACCCAAAAGCAAGGCCCCAAAATATCCTCCGACTGGTGCCGACGCACCAAAGAGACCGAGACTGAGATTTCGCACGCGACCGGGGGGATTGGTGCTAGATATCATGGCCACCGCATTAGGCATGATGAACGCGCCTCCAAGACCAGCTAGAGCCCGCATCGTGACAAAGGCGAAGAAGTTGTTACAAAAGGCGCTGGCTAGAGTGCAGATAGTGAGCCAGGCACCCCCGGCTAGGACGAGTTCTCGGTGGCCATAAACATCTCCCAATCGCCCACTCACCAACACGAAGGTACCTTGGGTTAGACTGTATTTATGTTAGTGAGATGGTGTAATCATAAACATCTAGATACTCTGTGCCTTACGCATAGCTAGCAGCGATCCACGAGGCGTAGGTGTCGTCAACGCCCAATGATTCACTCAAGGCGCTTCCTCCAGCAATGCCTGCAAAATTGACTGTCATCTGATATTGTCAGTATTGGAGGATTTTCTGCTCTGAAGAAAGTTGACGGCTCTGAGTATACCTGTACGAGATTAGCCAGAACAAGCAATGCAGTAATGACCACTCGACGCGATCTGGTCGTCCGACTGGGCAGTGCCCGCTCAAAGACAAGTTGGCCATCTCTAGGGGTCAGATTGTCTTCTACTGAGACCTGCGTGTCTGGAACATGTTCAGCTGGGGTCGCGGGGGTCGGGTCAAGCTCTTGGGCCACAGTAGACGATGCAACAGGCTTGATGTCGTAGTGAAGAGCATGTAAGAGCGACATGGTTTGATAATAAAGGGGGTGTTTCCTATTCTTTGTGACTAGAAATAGACTAAATAAGATCTCGAGTTTAAGTAGACACCATCGGAGACCGGGTCCGAGCTACTGAGCAGTAGACGTAACTGCTTTGACTCATTCTCGATGAGAGTCACCATTCAATTGGGTGTGCATTCATCCATGTCTGCAACTGTGATTGATCAGCATAGCGGTGCTAGATCCGTGTGCGGAAATAATCCCTGATGTACACACATTGTACTTGGAGATGGATTTTTGTATCAAGAGATTGTCAGACAAGACTATATCATAAGCAGATACCTTGCTTTACTTTATATGGGCTGGCAATAGAAGACATGAGGTGCAGTCGTTTCTGATAGACTACTAAGTTATCCGATTCCTTACTGAAGTCGCTAAATATCCTTCCACCTCAATATCCGCCACAGCAAGCGGGGAAATTTCACAAGAAAAAGGCTTAGGGTCGATGGTGAATGCGAATCTCGGCGTCATCTTGTTTCTTAGTCCAGCGCTCATGATACCAGCGGTATATCCCTAGCCTCGAAACACTACACCAGAATAAGAATGTGGCTATTTGAATTTTGTTTTAGTGTCGAGCAGCCAGAAATGATATGAGCCCTATAGATCAAATCCTTATACGATCGGCTGTCGCGCGGGGTAAATCACCGTCCAAGATGAACTCGTAGGAAATTTATCCTGTCTCTGGAGGAATCAACTTTCTTGGCCATAGTATTCGACCTTGTCGTAGTAGATGATGTCTCCATAACCCGCTTTGTTAGCTAATATCTGCTAAGCATACTGGTTTGTTGCCTTGATATGTTCGGTGTATCGATCGATCTCCGTAGGTCTATCTTATAAGTTCCTCGGAAGTCAGTTTATGAGAAATAAGAATAGTACGTCGCATATGCGGTCAGGTCATTTTGTAATCATTTCGGTGGTCTTCTAAGTGTATTTTTATAGATCTTCCACCCATTCTCAGGTATAGCAAGTCTGGCTATCAAACGAAAGCTATTACAGGAAATCCTCAGCATACTCCTCATACTTCTGCATGAAGTCCTCCATGTTGAACTTATCCTTCAGCCGCTTATCTGATAGAATGAAATTGCCTGTCTCAATGTATCCTTGTCGGAATGCTGTGAATAGTGTCGGGCTCCTCAAATAATGTGGAATGAAACGTTTATTATCCCCTGTCACCATTGCCCCTTTGAAAGCTTGATAAACAACACCTGGGTCCTGATTAAGGTCTACTGCCTCGCATTGTCCAAAATCTAAGAGATATAGCTGAACGGCGCGGTATTGAAAGTCCGGTCCATGCTCCTGGGCATCTATGACTGAAGTTCCAAGCACAAACTCCACATCATCGCCGTTGACGGCCGCGGCCCAATGTAAGGTTGCATAGGCTTTGCCCATCGCATTCGCAAAGGGGAGAGTCTCAACGCCAACTTGCTCCATCGACTCAAGGCATAGAGGGAAGTTTCGCAGCGGAATCTCGTGATTGATGGTACCATTTTCCTTGCCGAGATAAATACGGATAAGACAGTGCTTGTTTTCAGGGTGGTTAAGGAGGGCTTCCATTCCAGCACTATCAAGATGCTGCTCGGGGGCACAGAATTGGGAGATCAAGGCTTTTCGTACGACTTTTGGTAATGGAAGAATCCGTTCCATTATTACCAGGTTCCCAGGTACTCGATGATCCTCGGGAGTTTTTGGTAAGATTTTATCCCAGAACCCGCTATTCTCTTTCCTAGAGATCAATTCGAAGGGTTTTGGAACGTGGATTCCCCCGTTGGTAGACTGGTAATGTTCGAATGCGGCCGAAACATCACAGTGAATCTTATACTCATGATAGAGGTTTGATGGTAGCTTTTCGTTTCCTGGACTTTCTTTTTTCAAGGCCAGCGGCTTCCCGACCTGTTCGAAGATAGCTCCCTGTAGACCAGCTCCGATTTGGTTGAGTTGTTGCAAGTCGGGTCGAGAACTTGCAGTCTGAGAAAGGCGGCCGAAGGAAGAGGCCGTCAAGATAACAGACTTCTGGCTGAGGGTCTGTTTGAGAATTTCTGAATCGGTCATGCGCGCGAGATTTGATGCTGAAAATTCCCGAGAAGCTCTGGCATTCTCTGCTGAGCTAGCCGATTCATCCCTGCCATTACCTTCAAACCGTTGATCCATAGTAATCGGTGCTGATAGATGGCTTCAGTTGTTGTGTATTGTGTATTATGTGCTGTGTGTGTGTGTGTCATGTAGTCGTAATGTCCTGTGTTCTAATCATGACGTCCACAGGCCACGTGCTCGTTCCCTTCTTTCCAAGGTTATGCTATCAAAGTAAGCGAGAACGATCTCAATAGTTACGTGTCAGAGCAAGTTCAAGTTAAGCTCCTATGGAGGTGACTGACTGTACGTCAGAGCAAGTGAAATGAGTATAAAGCCCGATATTTATCACAATCCTATTGAGTACAGCGTGTTTGTCTTATTATGTTCATGTATAGTGGCAAGATATAGACACGAATGGCACCCACTCATATATGATATAGGTAGATGGGCAGATGGTCAAACGCCCACAAATGTGCCATCCCTTTTTTCGTTTGCTCTCCGGCCAAATATGAAATGTTTCACACTTGATTTCTCACTCTCTTCCCTTCACTTCTCTGTTCCATTCATCTACAACTTCTTTCATACCATCTCACAACATATCTTGTACTAAACCACTTCCATTACCTTCTTCGTGTCAAAAAAGGTATATAAAACAAGTTTCCACAATCTTTGATTAACCAAGCTAACTAGTGTTGTCAACTGGAGACATCGACTACGATGAAGGTCCCCCTTGGTCCGTCGGAGCATCCAAACCAGCTTTTGCGGAAGCTTGGGGCCCAGTATGACCCGGACCTGTCCATTAGCGATGCTTTTCGTCTCGTTGGCCTACGGCGAGGCTGGAAACAAGGATCTAAGACTTGGAAGAGAAATTGGAATGCTTGCATGAATAGCGAGTATGATCGGTTGATTGGCTGCCGGGTCTCTAGTCTCGCAACTTGGCAACAGCTATGTGCTAAAGTGGGAATCAAGGATTCCTTCAGTTCAATCACCCAGTGCAAGAAGGTAAGACGATACCACTATCTATTTTCAAGTCACTTGCTTACTATTGTAGGCCCTGGTCCGTGTCCATGTGAACATCGTCGATGTTCTAGATTCCTGGAACTCCGATGTCACCCCAATTTGTTTCAGAAACAAGGACGCTCTTGCTGCGTATACCCAGTCCAGCACCAAGTTCTTTGGCCGAGAGATCGCAAAGCAGGATAAGGTTCTCCGAGTTCTGTTGCGCAAGCTGCTTTGAAGAGTACAGCGACATGTCACTTCCAGGGATATGATCCCGGAGATGTACTGGGTGCGCAGTTCAAGTGTGGACGAAATCGATCTGGGAACTACACGACAATTGAATGTGGGAAATTTGGTTTTGAATAGCTGAAATACCTGAATAACTTGTTGAAAGCGTTGTGTTTCTCCATGGTATAGATTATTTCGGGAGGTCCTCGTAATGTACATGGCTTCGGTGTCCTTAAATGCTGTCGCGGCTTCTTCATCGTCATCTCATTACCCCCGGTGTTAGAAGAGATATGCAAGGTCCCGAAACTGCAAACGTCAGTACGGCAAGCTGAGCCTACTAGGCACCTACAAGACGGGTATCCAAAACAATAGTATGTCTGTGGCCGACAGGCAAATAAGGGTTCCGTTTTTACCTAGGCACAAAACACCGAGTGGCATGCAAGCTCTTTCCAATAACGAAATTGGAAAACATTCTCTCAAATATCACCATATATCTTCTAAATACATCTGATTCAAGGTATCAAACATGTTGTAGTCGCTGGGTAGAGAATTGGCCGAGAATGCAAAGCCGAGGTTATTGATGAACAGCTCATCGGGGTTAGAAGCTGCCCCAAGTCCGATTACGTCGTTGTTATCATGTTGAGTATCGCTCGCAGTCGGAACATCAAACCAATTGATATCTGGAAGTGCTGTGGGCAAAATGGTGTTTTCAACATGCAGGTCTTTTGGGTCGGGCAGACCTTGGAAGGACTCAGTCGGGGCCATCGGCCCTGGATAGAGATCCCCGTCTTCTGGTTGATATGGAATTGTGCAAAGGCTATTGCATTCCAATGAAGGAGCGGGAGGCATGTGATCAATATCACAGTTCAGTCGTTTGCAATATAATTTCTCCAGATTGCGTCCGATACGCTTCGCGATATTCCAGGACGTCGAGAGTTCCCGCAGGACCTGAAGGCAGAGTCCCACAGCCGCCTGTGGTGATGGACCTCGCAAACTCTGGTTACCTGTCCCAGTTTTCACAGTGGGATCAACGCACCATCTATCAATGATGATCGATGCCGCTGATAGGATGCAGTGTGTGGCTGTCATGGGGCTCAGTTTAAAGCTGCCAAATGTCTGTCTATATTTCTGGGCGACAATGCACATTCCTCGGGCGGAGTTGCTACATATGGTCATGACTTTCTGTTTACAGGCAGGCCCCCATTCTTTGTGGCTTCTGTTCTGTTGTGTCTGTGGGTCTGGGGGATTGCCAACATCTTGAGTGGCAGAGTTGTTGCTCAGAAAGGGCACGCAAAGTAAAATGCACACAGTATGGTATACCATGCACAAAGTGTAGGTGTGAGGAAATCTGGAGGGACCAGATTGACGGTCGACTTTGAGCTCTGGAGGTAGATCGTAGTACCAGGTCTTAAGTTCAAGCACACAGGATTCAAAAAATGCGCAACGTTGTTGGGGTTGGAGGAGTGGCTTTGGGGACCAGCTTGAGCGATATATGTCAGTGAGACAGGTAGATTTAAGAAATGACATGGTAGACTTACAATGTAAGAAGGACTTTCTCGAATATACGACACAGGTCAATCATTGCCCTATGCAACTGTACCACGTCTCTTTGAGAAGCGGCCCTTAATTGTCTATTGCCATTTGCTGAGGGCAAATAGACATCCGAGGCACATAAAGGGAATGGTTTGTTGACGACACCCTGGGAGTCCTGGGTGATAAATTAACGTGAGTTTCGACGCAAAAAAATTATTGCCTGTGGTACAACATACCAGTAACGTGCACACCCTCCCCGTGTAGCTCGCTGACAATTTGTCGTGACAATATAGAGCCCAATAAATCTGCCTTCGCAGCTCAATCTCGATGGGTGGAAGAGCAACTGCTCCGGAAAGGACCGAGGGATCCATGTTGAAACCCATGTCTAAGGCCAGGCGATTGGCCATACCTTGGTGAAGCCAGCCAGCAGCATCAGACCCCATTGCCTATCAGATATTAGTTTGATTGGCTGGGTGAAAGTCTGAGATATCACACTTACAATATAAGCCATGCCCATGATTGCCAAAGACTGGATTGTTGTGATCTTGGGCCATCTGAGGTCGTGTTGAATCAATCTTTCTGCCCTATCAAGAAATATTTTGCCGGCTGTGTTTGAATCATTGGGGTCTGATCTCACTTCTATGCGATCGCAGTAACGTGAACCTACAGCGAGGATGCAATTTAAAAGAAGGGGGCTGAAGTATCGCCCACCACATCTCATAGATTCTCGAAACAGTTTTTCGTTTACCACCTGAAGCCATGGCTGTTCCCACTCAAAATACAGGTCGAGCAAGTGCGACTGAAGCTCGTCTTCTGGTATCAAGCTTTCTTCTAATGACTCTGTACTCCCATTCGGCGGTGTTTCACCAGTCTGCATGGGAGGGCCATCGGACTGATATGCCTCTTCGCTGGGCGAATCTGGAGATGATTAGCGAACCTCTATACTGTGGCGAAAAAAAGAATGGCTACTGTAGGCTTGCCTTTTGATGAAGATCTAAATAGCAATCGCCCACTTGTCGGTCCAAAATACCGCACCTCGCCATCTTGATCGAAATTTAATGACTCGTCAAGCGTCAATGCGCCGTCAAACGTAGTACACAAGTCATCAACATTCGAGGAAGCCGGAGCCCACTCAGGGTTAGGCTCTCCATTTTTTATCATCAATTGAATGGCAGCATCAGGGTCAATACCATGCGTGTGCAGTACACGCTCCAACAGTTCAATGCGATTGCGCAGCATGACTACATAGGACTTAGGTGCGGGTTGCCGCCCGTCCTCTGCTGTGGAGTACTCGCATTGAACGCCACGGTCAAGGCAGCGAGAGCAAGATGGTCGAACACCATCACACTATTTTAATATTAGCACAAGCTTTGAGTAATACTTGGTGGAACAATTATGATCTTACCTTAGCTCGTCGTTGTCGGCATGTCTCACAGGCTCGGGACGTATACTTTCTACCCGGTCGCTTGCGCCTAGCAGGTTCATCCGGTGCTGTGGGCATAGCTGAGGTATACGGGAAAGAGGAATTTGATCCAGTGCACAGTAGACTCTAGTACTTTAAGCTTGAGATTGGAAGCCTTCGACTACTTGGGATTCAGGAATGGAATCTTCCGACCTTGGAGGGTTGCCCAGGTGGAATGGTTGTGATTACAAATCAATTGCCTTAGGCACCAAGGCATAAAGTAGTCACCCTTACAATTCAGGCCACAGGGTCTGATGCTTTGCCTCACTGCCTCACATCATACAACGACTTAGTTATCTGTATAAGCTACAGCCAAATAGAATTGTGGTTTAATATTTGACCTGGGAGAGTTGTTTTCCCAAAAAGACATATTGAGAATGCGGAACATATTGTGGGACAGAACTGACTTCGTGTCCAAAGTATGTTGTAGTTAGTATATGCTCCTATACGTAATGACCTCTCGTCATGACTAGGTAGAGTTTCATGCTAGACAGACATGACCCATTCATTAATACATGCCTATAGGATATCGGTGCAGGCTAAATAGTGTAGTAGGAAGAGGAAAGCGTAAAGTTTACTCGGGGGGTATCTCCTGTTCGCTCCAAGGTCATAATGAAATAAATTGTCGCGAATAAGCCTATTCCATGACACTATCATATCTATATTGAAGAATAGCAATGGAAGATCATCTCCAAAAAAAATAATGAAGCCAAACCATCAGCTGACTACCCCGCAGATGCGCAGAATCCAAAAAAAAAAAAGAAAACCTTCGAAGGTCGGAAAAGATGAAGACAAATAGGTGGAGCAACATTGAATGTGGCCCCCGAACATTCCGGGCCTATTCATAGGATGTTTGGATATATTCTAAGGAGAGGGGGTAGAATTGGAGTCACGTAGAATCTCCAATTGTGATAATATTGTGCTATATGACTGGCTCAGGTTGATATGGATCATGCCAGCAAGGGATTATGAGATCGACAGTTTCTTTATTTCCAGATATCCGTGGAACAAGTGTGGATTGAGGATAGAATACTCCTATTACACCATTTGTTTCACAGAATATCTCTCTCCTAATCTCATACTATCAGATATCAGTAGTGCAAATGATGCAGTTGGAGAGGGAATGCGAGCTCTCATTGTATGGGGAATTAACAATTACATCCGGTGGCGTCCAATGGACTTGGAGAAATATTTTCTTTTTCTTTTTCTTTCTTTTGGCCTTTTCTATTTTGCAGATTCGGTGGAAATATGGCTGTCCGGCATGAAGGGATATATATGGTACGAAGTACGAAGTACATATTACATGGGTTGGATGCTTTTAGACAAAAGTACTACGTCTAGAATAGTGCTTATCTAGATAGTACCAATACTGTCTGTATATGTCTAGATTCAGATGTATTTCACGTCCTTTATTTGACATGTCATGACGTTGAGTTACAAATATAAGATGTATATAATACCTATAGGAGCTCTCGATGGCCATCTCCCACCACAGAAGGGATCAACAAAGTACAAAATCTTGATCCTATATACTATATATGCACAGTAAATGTCCAGGATATCAAATAAAGGACAAGTCAACAGAAAAAAAAAGAAAACAGAGAGAGGTGGGAAGTACGTAGTGCAGGAAAAGCACAGCTCACCAATCACCGCCCTCGACTCCTTCGATTTCCCCCCCATCACGACTCTTCCTCTTAAACATTCTCTCGACTTGCTCACTTCTACCCATTTCTGTGACCCTTAGGTCTCAATTTCGATCCAGTTTCGTTCCCTTTCTCGGGTCAGCCTCCTCTGAGGTTGACGTTGTCGATCTAGCGCGTCGCTGTCGCGCCATTCCCCGCAGAGAGACGGCTTCCGTTATCCTCCGTCTAACGTTTCGTGTTTCAACCTCTGTGTTGTCTCGAAGCCTTTGAATACACAAATTTAACGTTGGATTGGTGGACTGCCATCACTCCGAGCTTGCATTGATCTGTTCCCAAGTCTTACGACCTCACTATGGACACTTGATGCTACGGATGAATCAATAACCTCGATTAAGGGCACCCGCGCTGCCCAGCAGACGGTCCTGCTTGGCTGGAACAACACTCTTGTTTTATTCAATTTACCTCGATTCATCGCACTGTCGCCTTCCTACCCCCCTTGAACCATGAATCCCGCTCGGTCGCCGGAGCGAGCCAGCATGGCCAGCAATGATTCCCCCAAACCACAATTTCTCGCGCCTCCTGCCGTGACAGCGTTGCGGCAGGAGGCTCGGAATATCGATCCGAAGATGGCTCGGACATTGAGTGATAATATGCGCGAGGAACGTGAGGATTTGAAGGAAGCGGCAGAACAGACTTTGAACATCATTGTGGATATGGACCTGGAGGGTTGCGTCAAATGGGTCAGCCCATCGTGGAAGCAGGTGGTCGGCTCACCCCCTGAGTCAGTGGAGGGCCATATGATATCGGAAATTCTGCTGGGCAACAAGGATGTCTTCCGCGATGCAATCGAATCCATGAAGCAGGATGATTCGCGGAGTCGTTTCATTCGCTTCGCCCTCCAGATGGGACCGGATTCTGTCCTGAAGTACGCCCCTGAACCACCACCGGCGGCTAGAGAGAACCGGGCCATCGGGGAAAAGACAGAGGACAACGTTGAGAAGTCCCAGGAGGAGGAAGAGCATAATCACAATGTGCTCAACATGGAGGGACAGGGAATCATGGTCTATGACCGGACGGACGATGAAGCTGGCCATGTGCGTACCTCAACAACCTCAACAATGTCTTGTTGCCCGCCGCCGTTTATACCACTGACACCTTCTGAATACAGACCATGTGGATGTTACGACCTCTTACCGAGCCCAGAGAAGTGACAATCGATCTGCCGCCTCTGCTGGTTGAGTCTTTGGGTGTTGGGGCGGAGGTATTAGCGAATTATTTGACCGAATTGGCTGAGGCTGCAGCGACAGAACCCGATTCCTCCAAGCATCCTGCCCCGACCCCGGTCCTCTGTCGCATATGTGAACGCCAGATTACGCCATGGTGGTTCGAGAAACACTCAGATCTGTGTCTGCAGGAACATCGGGCTGAGATGGATGTTCAAATGGCACAGGAAAACCTCAATGAGCATCGGCATGTCATTGTCAAGGTCTTAGATGCTTTAGAGGCCCGACAAGGCAGACCTTTGATCGGGGGAGATGGAAATCCCATGCCCCTCCCCCAAGCGGAGTACAAAGGGTTAGCCATCGGCCCCTCGTCTGCCAGCTCTGCTCCGTCATCCGGTCCTGTTTCAGAGAGTAATTCAGCGCCCGGCACGCCGCCTCGGTCGCGCGAACATTCTGCGTCCGATGCTATTCCAAACCGACCGCGCTCCTTCACAGTGCGGAGACCACTGGCTCGTATCGTCGAACTCGTTCTTGACCTGTGCGATACTTCACTAGAGATTAGTATGCCGATGATCAAGGAATCTTCCCGGACAGACACAGAGGACTTCCGGACGCTGTCACCACAATCTGAATCGCGGATCTCTCAGGTTCTTCAGTGGCAGTCCCCGAGCTCTAACACCCTGGAACAAGAACAGGGTCTCGCTGCTTTGTCGGCAGACACTGAACAAGTCGCCAAGGCAAAAGTGGATGCCGTTGTACGTCATCGCAAGATTGTTGAATACGCCGAACGAATTCGCATAGAATATACAGTCCTAGTCGAGGAATGTATTGGGGCAGCGCTAAGCAAGGCGGAGCGCATAGCTGCTGGTCAGCTCAGTGATTCATCTTGCTCATCTGATGAAGAATTGGCGCCTGAGAGCATCATCGACGGCAATATTACTCCGGGCGATAGCAATACTGTTGCCGAGGAAGATTCCCCCTCACAAATCATGAGCCAAGAACCGCAACAAAGGCCCTGTCCAGCAGCACCCTCTCCGCGGCGACCGACATCTGCGCTGACTCTGTCAATGCGTAATTCGCCAGATCGGTCTTTGCTCTCACAATCGGAGCGCAGACCATCCTCCGCAGCAGTATCCACAGGTTCTAACAGCCCATTGGAATGTCCTACCCCGCGATCCTATAAGAGTGCTGCAGGACTCCTGGGTACCTCACAGCCTTCTCGACTGGGCCTTTCCCTATCGGAAATTGATGCTGGTGAGACTAGCGACAGCAGTTTGCCTTCTGTCTTCCCGGGAGCTATAAGAACAGAGTCACCCTCATCTGAGAGGAGCTTCGATCGAAAGCGTCGGAGCCTGGTACTGCCTGGACTTTCGAGTTCTCCTCGTCGGCAACCTTCTCCCGCTCGAATTTCAGGTCCGCATTCCCCGTTGCGCATGCCAAAGCCCCGTATGTCTAGCGGCGGTGAAAGCCTGCCGTCCCCGATAGCATCTCCGTCTGCATACGCAAGTGAATTGGCCCTTCATCACTGCCGCCACCATCGCCGGGAGTCCTCGGCGAATTCTTCAGATATCACGAAGCCCCCACCTTCCCCACGCCTACCTTCGATGAGCCAGCAACAGCCTCGGCCTGCGCCATTGTCGATCCGCGATTTTGAAATAATCAAACCAATTAGCAAAGGTGCTTTCGGCAGTGTCTACTTGGTGAAAAAGAAGGCCACTGGCGAGTATTATGCAATGAAAGTTCTGAAGAAGGCCGACATGATTGCCAAGAATCAGGTCACCAACGTCAAAGCCGAGCGTGCCATCATGATGTGGCAAGGGGAGAGTGACTTTGTTGCCAAGCTTTATTGGACATTTTCTAGTAAGGATTATCTCTATTTGGTGATGGAATATCTCAACGGAGGTGACTGCTCATCACTTGTCAAGGTTCTTGGGGGTCTTCCCGAGGATTGGGCCAAGAAGTACATTGGTGAGGTGGTGCTTGGAGTTGAACACCTTCACAGCCGAGGCATTGTGCATCGCGATTTGAAGCCCGATAACCTTCTCATCGACCAAAAGGGACATTTGAAGCTCACCGACTTTGGACTTTCACGCATGGGATTGGTCGGTCGTCAGAAGCGGGTGCTGAAGAACCCCGATGAGTCTGCTCCGGATCTACTGAAACAAAATGCATT